AGCCCATGTTATCCTCTGCATCTATCCCCGAAATTATCTGTATCTATGCCCGCTTCCCCAAAGATGTCCCAAACTCAATATGACTAATAATCTGTCTCTGTATATCTGATCCCCGAACCCTTGTTTACCCGACCTGTCAATTAATATAAATAACAGCATGTTTATTTATTCTTATTTCTGTATTCAAGATCTTATCTATTTTTCCTGTTTCTTTGAATAAACCTTTTTCTACCTACATTCCTTTTATATATATATTAATACTAATAGATATATAATTTCTCTTTGCCTTGTCCCTCACCCTAATAATCATTCTGTTCTGCTCTTGCCCCGCCCCGCTCCTGACACAATAGTTTAATTATTCCTAGAATTGTTATCATTAAGAGGCTTCCTGAGAAATATGCCGGCCAACATAAATTACTTTTTCTGAAAGCCCTGGAAATTCTGAACAAGAATATGCTAAAGAGAAAAAAATCGCACCGCAGGGTCGCGAGTAATTGGCTGTCAAAGTTTAAAATATGCTTGCTACGTGCACCTAAAAAAATCTTAAAGCCTAAGCCTGGGCCATTTTTAGCCCTATTAAAAAAATTAAAAAAATGTAGCAATAAAACAAACAGGTACTCGGGTGTCGAACATACACTCTCGTCGATGCATGCTGCTCGCTTTCCCTGTTTGGCCACAGAGGGCATGAAGATTCACTGTTCAAATACTTTATATTGTTGGTATGAATATAATATCGGCAGAAATTGACCAAAGGGTATAAGGGCTTTTTTGGGAATAATTTGCTAGTTCTTGATATTCTTTTACGACGCCGATTTACCTGTAAACATGGTAGGGGTTGATGCTCTATGATGTGGTTTTTTGTGATCGATAAGCTTATACGGTGGACCTCGGAGCTTGAAACATTTTTAATTTTAAACTGTCGGAAGTTCAATTTTTTGGTGTACTTTGGGTGTTCACCAAACAACTTATTTAAAATTTTAAATCTTGATTTTAACAAAAATATTTTGGGTGTTCCCAAGCAAATTATTTTAAAATATTAAAATAAATCCTTTAATTAAAATAAAAAGTCAGAAAAAACAGAAGTTCATTTTGAGAAAATGCTAAACTGTAATTTGTACATGGCACAGAGGCCAATGTTATTTTTTTCTTTCTTGTATTCTTATCAAAATAAACATACTTTACCTTTGCCTCTGCCTATTTGAGAAAGGAACAACCAAAATACTGCTTCTTACTTTATTGATGGTCACCTTGCGAGCAGCCAGACTGGAATTTTTGGACGTGAACGTGGACGTCAAAGTGGACGTGGACGTAGACGTGGACGTGGACGTCAAAGTGGACGTGGACGTGGACGTGGACGTGGACGTCAAAGTGGACGTGGACGTGGACGTGGAAGTTGAAGCCAAAATGAAGATGATTTCGACGGCTGGCAATGCTTCAGGGGATCTGGATGGGGACAAGCGGAGACCTTGTTGCTTATGGAAAGGTATAATGAGCACTTTCATGCTATGGATTCGGCTATGAGCTTGGCGGAAAAAAATGAATTTTTTGACCTTCTTGCGATTGAATTTCATGCAGCAAATGTTGAACGTGCTCCTCGGAGCGACGAACAGTTGAAAAGCAAGTGGTCAAATCTTTTGTAGGATTTCAAACGAAATTACGCCACCCGTGATTCTACTGGACAAGCAGCACCCGCTCGTTCTATCATTTATGACAAATTATATAGCATTCTTAAAGACTTACCTTCATATTTTCCACCTGTCACTTATTCTTCAATTTCAGGGGAGTTTAGAACAAGAATTGAAGATGCTCCTAAGGTTGATGACAATTTGGAGCCTGAGGTTGTTGGTGATCCTAGCCCGAATACTGCCCATACGAACACTGCAGACGATGTGTTAAGTACTGTGGATACCCATCCTGCAACGGCAGGTAATGTACGTTCCGGGAGGATCTTTGCTGTCGGTGAACAAGATCAACCTCCCACTGCAAGACGCAGATTAGATACACCCCGTGTGTCAACAGCCGCCACATCCCCACCAGCAACAACAGCAGCACCATCAGCACCATCAGCACCATCAGCACCATCAGCACCATCAGCACCATCAGCACTATCAGCACCATCAGCACCATCAGCACCAGCACCAACGGCACCAACAGCACGAACAGCACCAGCACCAACAGCAGCACCAGCAACATCAGCAACACCACCATCACCAGCACCAACAGCAACACCAGCAACACCAGCAACACCACCAGCACCAGCATCAACAGCACCAACAGCACCAGCACCAACAGCACCAACAGCACCAACAGCACCACCAGCACGCGCATCGGAGCCCTTTCAACCTACCCAGGTAACAGTAGCTTCGATGTTGCCTTTACCATCGGCGTCTGAACAACGCATCGAGAACAGCATGTTGCGTGTCTTGGACCGCGTGCAACAAACTCAAGCTTTGGAAAGGGACAACCACTTTCAGTCCTTTCTTCAGTATAGTCGGGAGGCCAATGCTGCATTACTTGCACGTAGTGATCGATTGGCAGAACTGTTTGCTTAAAGTAACAGGGAAACAACAAGACTTGTTGATGCGATCCTTCAGGATATGGCCAATGGAAACCAACAGGGTCAAAATAATAATAATAATACTGATCAATCAATATTATAATGATTGTTTTGACTTTGCAGTATATACCTTATTTAGTAATTCGGACTGTTCTTTTTTTTTTTTTTTTGCGCGGCCAAGCGAAGCGCAGGTCGAAGCAACAGACATGTATGAGTATAATAAACACTTACTGAGCTGGGAGGGGCTGTAAGTCCCGACCAACAAGGTACATAAAACATTGAGTGAAAAAAATAATGATTAACATTGAGTGAGCTGGGAGGGGCTGTAAGTCCCGACCAACACGGTACATAAAACATTGAGTGAAAAAAATAATGATTAGCATTGAGTGAGCTGGGAGGGGCTGTAAGTCCCGACCAACACGGTACATAAAACATTGAGTGAAAAAATAATGATTAGCATTGAGTGAGCTGGGAGGGGCTGTAAGTCCCGACCTATACAGTACATAAAACATTGAGTGAAAAAAATAATGATTAGCATTGAGTGAGCTGGGAGGGGCTGTAAGTCCCGACCAACACGGTACATAAAACATTGAGTGAAAAAATAATGATTAGCATTGAGTGAGCTGGGAAGGGCTGTAAGTCCCGACCTACACAGTACATAAAACATTGAGTGAAAAAAATAATGATTAGCATTGAGTGAGCTGGGAGGGGCTGTAAGTCCCGACCTACACAGTACATAAAACATTGAGTGAAAAAAATAATGATAAGCATTGAGTGAGCTGGGAGGGGCTGTAAGTCCCGACCTATACAGTACATAAAACATTGAGTGAAAAAATAATGATTAGCATTGAGTGAGCTGGGAGGGGCTGTAAGTCCCGACCAACACGGTACATAAAACATTGAGTGAAAAAATAATGATTAGCATTGAGTGAGCTGGGAGGGGCTGTAAGTCCCGACCTACACAGTACATAAAACATTGAGTGAAAAAAATAATGATTAGCATTGAGTGAGCTGGGAGGGGCTGTAAGTCCCGACCTACACAGTACATAAAACATTGAGTGAAAAAAATAATGATTAGCATTGAGTGAGCTGGGAGGGGCTGTAAGTCCCGACCAACACGGTACATAAAAGATTGAGTGAAAAAATAATGATTAGCATTAAGTGAGCTGGGAGGGGCTGTAAGTCCCGACCTACACAGTACATAAAACATTGAGTTAAAAAAATAATGATTAACATTGAGTGCGCTGGGAGGGGCTGTAAGTCCCGACCAACACAGTACATAAAAGATTGAGTGAAAAAAAATTATTGATTAGCTGTTTCCGAACTATTGGGTGTCACAACTATAAATAAAAAATAAAAAAGCGTTAACTTTGTTCAGCCCCTTTTTTCACGAACAATAACAAATGTCTAACATTGGTGATCACGAATTTATTCATTTCGATGGAAGTAGTCCCGACGTCGAGGCAGAGCAAGACTCAATGCAGCAGAGTCAGCTAATCCCAGAGGTGGAAGACACTCCAGTCGAATCAACATTCCCAGAGCTCCGAGATTCAGTAACGGTAATAGAAACTCGAACGAAGACCCTGAGATCCAGAATGACGCTACCAGCAACACTGATCCAGAAAGTGAACCAACATCTTCTTCAACAGGTAAAATAGAAAATGAACGCAAAAACAAGTATTCTGAACCTTTTTTTTTTTTTTTTTTTTTTTTTTTTTAGCCAGAGATCATGACCTAAATCGTGCCTATCATGAAAATTTTGAAGAGGCAAATCTTCTTCGTGAGCGTAGAGGTATATACCGTGGAGATGCAACTTCAGATTTTTATGGACGCCATAATTTACAAGGGATGACAGAAAGATGCCCTTATTGCCATGCTATGCTGTTTAAAGAAGAACAAGCGACCAATCAAAAATTTTCTTTTTGCTGCAGTAATGGAAAAGTCAAAATTGATATCGTAGCTATGCCAACCATTCTCATGCAAAAACTTTTGACAGGTGAGCATCCTACCAGTACTGAGTTCAGAAAAAATATCAGAATGTACAATAATGCTTTTGCATTTACCTCATTTGGAGCCGATCACGAGGATGAGATGTTCAGTGGATCAAATCAAGGATCGTTCACGTTCAGAATCCAAGGAGGAACTTACCACCGATCTGCCCCATTAACTGTCAGTGAAGGTAGAAAGCCTGTTTTTGCTCAGGTTTACTTCAGTGATCCTAACTTACGCGTCCAGCAGCATATCGATTTCAATGAAGTTTTGGATCGTCAGTTGGTTGCTCAGTTGAATCAAATGATGGATGACGTATCACCGTATGCCAGTCTTTTTGAAAATGCTAGACAAAGATTTTCGGCAAACACAGTTGATGGCCAAAATGGTGTCAAAGATTTGTATGTTTATGTACGTGGAAACCCTGGACTTGGTCGGCAATACGATGTGCCTATTGCAGACGAAGTTGCAGCATATATTGCGGATGCAACAGTACCGGATGAAATCACGAAAGGTAGTAGAGAAGTCGTCGTCTTTTCAACTGTAAATGGATTTCCCAAAAAAATGAATGACTGTCACAGTTCATACGATTCCTTACATTTTGCATTGATGTTCCCTGGAGGTGATGACGGATGGAACACTAATTTGGAACTGAATTTAGACAATGAGGTCATTCAAAGAAATCAAGAAAGGGATGAGCAGAGTTTAAGCAGTAACCGAATGACACAAAAATCGGTGTCATTAAATCAATTTTACCAGCATCGATTGCAAGTACGACCTGGAGAAACAATGACATGTCATTTTGGTAGATTGTTTCATCTGTATATCGTGGATATGTATTGCAAAATTGAAGGCCGTCGATTGTATTACTTACGTACGAATCAAAGTATTTTACGTTCTGAGTTGTATTCTGGATTAGCGGATGTGCAAGTAGGTGTTGATATGAGTAGAGAATCGATTGGCAAGAGAGTTATTTTACCTTCCAGCCATACAGGCTCGCCAAGGGCCCTACATCAAATGCAACAGGATGCCATGGCTGTTGTTAGAGCGCTGGGAAAGCCAGATTTATTTGTAACAATTACTTGCAATCCAAATTGGAAAGAAATTGTTGATGAGTTGTTACCAGGTGAGGTCCCTTCG